CAGGACTCGAACATTGCCAACCGTCAATTGTTGTCGAAAAACCCCGGCTCAATGGAAAAGCCTCTCAGGGAGTACTAAATGCTTGAGCACCTGTACTCTATATATTTCCCCCCAGGTGGGACTCGGTAATCTTTTTGGATTGTCATTTCACAGGTAAGCGGATCTCGGTCGGTGGCATGGTTGGCTGGGTCCTCGCGGCCCTGAACTTGAACAGGGGAGCGAGGATCCACACCTGTTCAGGTGAGTGTTGTGGAAACAGCACACCTGAGGGACCAGACACAATGTGCAGACATCTGCCATGTCACCCCCCATCACCGGCCACTGGAGGGTGCAGATGTCTGTTGAATGTACAAACACATAAACACATCAGCCGACACATGGCATGTCAACACGCTGAAAGGAAATTGAACTTGACCGAACACAAAACACTAGTAACAGATGTTGTAATTCAATGGACTTGATTTTTCAGTCTCAAAGTGTTTTTCTCTGACTTTCAAAAACAGCATCTTCTTTTCAAGAGTGTTCCTCATTGAAGAATGATAATTTGGCCATATTAGGTAACAGACCAAAATTGGCTAAAATATACCAGATAAGATGCACGAAGTACATGTATCTTATTGTGATACCATATTGGACAATTGCAACATAGTAAAGACTGCGCATTAAAAAAAAATTTTATACATTTTGTACATGCACCTGACTATGCATGTATGTAAAATTAGTCAAATAAGCCCTGAAAATAAGTTGTAATGATGTTTAAAACTTAGATAAAACCAAATCATTAAAGCAGTGACATCATTGGTTTCCCATGATACAGAACCACATGCAAATATACTGTAGCAAGTGTTCACTTTTTTATTGACATTATTCAATGGCTGCAGTGTTACACATAATGGCTCCAGACCCTGAGGCAAGGATATAACCTTACAACCTCCATATCTGCGTAGATGATCATCCCTAGCTGCGTGGCCACGTCTCCGAGCCCCCGAGTGCCCTAATACCGAGGATTACCGCCAAACCTTTAAGACTTTGAAAATGATAAATGGAGGTCCATCAACTTCGCCTTGTGTCATGGACGCATATAATGGTCTTTTGTACCAGCATTTAACACCTATGATTACACCACTTAGTCTGAATTATGGGCCCCACAGTAGTGCTATGTAATGGCCATTATTATCTCGACTATGACACTAAACATGCTTTGATGAACAATTTTCTACTACGTGTGTGCCTGCTCGCAATGGACCGAGCGTCCCTCGCTGTAGGATGATAAATTTCGTACACCTGCCCCATCTTGTCTACGGGTGTAGGAAAGTACAGATCAAATGATGCCTTATAACGAGTGTTACTTCGGCAGGTGGATTTCGGTTCCACTCTGCCTCCGCTGTTTTTTTTTTCTATTTCTATTCATGGTGGCGCTGGTGATTTTTCAAGCGTACCCAGATGTCAGACGAGTGCCTGCCTATCTGACCATTGCACAAAGTGAAGCCGCATCAACCGTGAGGCGAGGTCAGTCTTGGGGGGCAGCGAGAACCAGAATATGAATGTTCAATCCCCACCGGGCGGCACCAGCTGCAGAGATTACCTTTTTAATGCATAAGTGAGACAGAGAAAAGCAGATAGCGGGGATTATCGCACGACGGAGCGGCGCATTACCCAAACACGGCACGACGGAAGGAAAGCGCTTTTTCCCGCTATCGCTTCATCTGGATGCACTCCGCTGGGTCTGTTTCCAATGGCTGGGCTGATTAAAACTGATAACAGTAACAAGATTTGGGAATGGTTCCCCATTATTTGGTGCCACTGTAATATTCCGTGCCAAGATAAGCCCAGGTTTGATATTTAATTCACATCCTATTTGGCGCGGGGTGATGGGCATTCCCACTTGCCCTCTCCTTATCTCCATGCAGGCAGAATCAAACCACTAAGCTGACACTCGACTCCCCAGAGTACTTTGCCTGCATTTCACATTCATAGCAAGGGATGTAAAAGCCTTATTTTCGTCAGCAAATCTTCCTAGACGAGACTCAATTACTTCCTCTTAGTCTGCATTCAAGGACAAAATGTGCCGCCGAAATTTGGGCTTGGAGGAGTGAAGAGGATTACACAGACTGGGCCCCACAGAACAACCTTCTGTTACCTTCGGAAGTACAATATACACATTATTTCACGCCCAGCTGGCCGCCAAATGCAAGCGGAGAGGAAGCGCCAGAGGGGTGCGTTATTACGTGATTAAACCTGTATAATTTTGCAGCTTTTTCCATGTATTTCACACCCTGATGCATTTGACATACAATCATGGGACTCCGTCCCCCAAGGGTCTGGCCAATCGCCCAGGGATAATGAACGGTATATACAATACATGCGAGCCCATGCGTGCAGAAAGCTTTTTGCGGCAGCGACTGTTGCGCTTGACTGGAATCTCATACAAGGTTTCCACAATCGATGTGACAGTCCAGGCACCCAGAAAGGTCCCCGGGGACCCGCGCCACTGGTGACAGAGCCATCCGGGATGGGGGCGTGATCCATCACTGTAACGGGCGCGCCGGGCCCGACTTGTCTCCTTCCGAAGACGCGGCTCTCCGACCAGGGAAATCTTACCCGAACTTGGGACTCTGGGGAGACAAATTGGCCACAAGCCCGAACAGGACAAAGACAAAAGAGCCGGGAGATCAGGTGACATCTCGGCCCCTGGGACCACACGTAACAATTAGTGGTGCAGTTCTTTACAGGCCACTAAATGCCCTATCTGCCTCCCTACAATATATAATTCCGCTGGTGGATTGGAAACATCTCCCACCTATCAGTCACGGCAGGAACGTTAACTGTTACACTGATGACCAGACATGACCAGAATGCCAATAACCCATCCGTCAATGGAAGCTGTACAGAGTGCGCCACTGTGTGGGGAGTGGTTACAGGGTTTAATTAATAGGCAGAGGAAGAGGGACAGGGAGATTGCAATGTACAGTTTTCCAGAACAATTCCCAGCACAGCCTTTGAGCGTGGCAAGGCAATAAAGCAACACAACTCAAGCTACCGACAGGGGACCGGAAAATAAGTCCGGAATTACATCAGAACAGTGCACCTTGACTGTTTCGTATCCATTCGTTTTAATATAACTGACATTAAAAAAAATGCCCTGCCTTCTGTCAAGCCATCATCACGATTGATGACATAATCCAATCAAAAATGTCACTGATTATGAAAATGACCTCATTGATATGCCGAGATGGCCTCTTCTGACACAAAAAAGAAGTCCGTACAGGTTTTCCTACGCTTGCACGTACACCAATTTTTGTGCACGTACAACACGGACATAAATTCAATGGGACTCAGAAGAGGCTGTCAACCTCATTCAACTGCTTTGATTGACTTCAGCCAAAGACATTTTATAATGTCCTTGCTTCAGTATAACAAATCTGTAGTCTTGAAGCCATGGTTGTCAGAGTTTTTTGTGGAGGCGGACGATAATTGCTGCACGCACTGATGTCATCAGGATAATCAAGTCAGTGTGGCTTAATATCAAAGTCATTTACCCTTTAAATACCAGTAAGCAAGTCTTGAGAGTTGCAGCGATAATGGCCGACAGACACCCGTGACATTTATCTGTGCAATGATGGTGCAGCTGGTACCTTTTTTTGGCGACATCACTGGGGCAGAGCCTTTTGGTATATTATGCATCCAGTTTGGGAAAATTCTAGGAAATTGCTCTGATCAGAGTATGCGCATGCCAGGTAGTCACTTTTGGTCTTTTTTTTCATAACTCAAAAAGTTAAGAATGGATTGTCATTATGTAAATGAATACCAAATTTGCATAATTAGTGAGAAAATTATATTTTGACAAATATCTTTTAACAATACACACAATAATTAGCTGTATTGGGGAGCTTTCAAGGCCCACTCTGTCACTTCGTCAACCCGGTAAGATCTCGTCTTGGAGTTATGTTGTCATGTGACTTGATGTTGATTACCACGTGACAAGAGACAGTCGTATACAGGCTTTAGATACTGACGCCCCCTGTCCCTGATCAAGGTACTGCATTGTCTGCAGATGTGGATCGCCTCCCTAACACCCCTTGCAAACCAATCGGAATTTGTTTTTTTTATTTTTCAACTTCAAATGTTGCAGCGGTTTCACCACCAAACACCACAAACTATGTATGTATCATTTTGCCATACGTTGTACCCGCTACATCTGTTGCGCAATAAAGTTCTTCTTCTTCTTGTCTCAAAATCATTACACACAGCGGTGGGCAAACATATTACCATGTTTGCCCTTGAGTGGGTGTTTGCATCCGTAAACTGTTTTTCCTGTTACCATAACTCAACAATAATACAGGATGGGGAGTTGATATTTACACCTATCTACAAGTGAAATATCATCATAGTTTTGTATATATACAGGAGACATGTACTCATAATATCAATGTCATCATTTGATGAATTATGATATTGTCATAATAGTGGGACAAACTCAGGTGCCTTTTATGTGGATTTTGTAAAGATGTGTCGCAACTTTGACAGTGCTGCTGCAAAATCTAAAAGCAACAATTTTGGGGTAGATATTTGTGTTCAGTTTCCATCAAACAAAAACTTCAAGCAGAGCGACATCCAAAATTCAATCTGTCAAGATACAATTTCTTCTCAGTTGGGTGATTTGATTATTGAAGCTTTTATTATGAAAGTTTCCACATTTGACTGTTAGAAAGTACGTTCATGTATATCCCCTAGGGAAATGACCGTGCATTTCAGCTTCACTTATCTCTGAAGGTGACATTCTTGGTAAAAGCCTGCTTTTCCAACAATCGGACCTGCCACTCGCAGTGTCCAGCTGAAGAGATACCCGTACGTTCCAATGTAGATACACACAGATAGAGCCCACATCCTCGGGCATTGCCCTGTACTGTTTCTACACGAACTTTTATCTGCTATCAAAGCCGCACAACCTGCCAATATACCCCCAACAGATCAATGAACACACACCACATAGATCCTTTTATGAGATGGATGGTTTATTTTGTATGCAGAATAATACATGATCCAAAAAGCTGCCAATAACACAAAACAAAAAGGGCAGCCGTGTCGTATCAATCAATAGTAAAAGCTTGATTCTGAGACGTCCTTGAGAGTTGAGTTGTCTAAGGTTAACCTAGCAAGCCTGCCTGGTCTCGTGCCAATTGTCCGGTGGTTAATAGATAGCTCTCCTTTTTCAAAACTCAAGTGCAAGTCTGACATTATATTCGTAAGTACAATGGGCTCGGTGCCAAGTGGCTGTATGGGTCTTATAATAACAAATCAGACAATATGAAAGAATTTCTCTCTGAGATGTCGTATTTCTAATTTTTTCTCATTTTATCCAACGATGGTAGTTTTTCTAGTATTAGCTATTAAGTGAGTAATAACACAATGAAGTCAAGACGAAGTACAAATGTAGACCTGAGGAATGGACAATGGCAGTCATTTGTGCAGCAGAACAAGGCAGGAGTCTGCTCACTTACTCAGACCCTGCGTGTTCTACAACTTACAGGCAGGCTGTGGTAGGCAGTTTGCTCTGGGATCAGGCATTCGTGCTGTATTCTTGCCTATCCAAACAATAACTGAAAGTTGCTGCATTTGGACCTCAGCCCTTCGATGCACCAGTGCTATCCACTACAGAGAGATTGGGCAAATAACTTGAAAACATGCCCAGAAAATTCTTGCTTTTTGCATAATTCCCTTACAAGGAGTACAATGCCTATTACAATGACTAAAGTCAGAATAAAAATAAAAAGGGCTGCAGGTTATATATCATTAGAGACTTTCGTAAGAATGCAAAACATTAGATGATAAAGAATTACATAAGCTTTAAGGACTACAATTGCTTTAAAAATGATACACAAAGGTTTCTCTACAGTATGCCTCTTTGTTGATACACCTTTCCTGTAGGATTTTGTATAGAATTCAGGCACTATCTCCTGCGTTCAGTGGCAAAAATATGTAATGGTGCTCATCGGCATTGGCTTATGTCGTCATTTACTTGCGACCAGATGACGTTACATCTGTACTGATGGCACCTGTTGCTTTGGTTCCTTTGCACTTAGCTCTCACACCCTTGTCACGACGGCTTTAGCACAAAAGTTGGTGGTCCGTGCGCAGTTTTTTGTTCATCATGGTTTTGTGTTAAGCCAGCTTTTTCCATGATCACCTGGCAGTATAAGTGACTGCCCGGATGGAACTTCTGATGGCTACGCTTTTGTAGCCACGTTTTTAGGCTGTTTTGTACATGACTTTTGATCTTGGTCATGTGCAATGTATAGTCCGAGGGCACCATCTCTCTGTGGCTGTTTCAGCTAGGGTTTTTCCATGAAGAGAAAAACTGAAGCACGTTCCCAACTTCTATGCCGGCTTCCTTGGCCGATGTTATGGCGGACTGCAGGCGTTCTGACAGCGTGGTGTCCGCCGGGTCAAAACTAGTAAGGATAGTCACCATACCGGAGGGGTCGCACTCCGTACTCAGGCCGGCAAAGTAGCGGCAGCAGTCCACCATCTTGTAGTAGTGCCTGTGTGAAAGTTAACAAGAGAAACTTCTTCAAGTACATGTACCTCAAAACTGGGGGCCTGCATGGGAGTTACGCTACAGTAGCGATTACGCTTTAAGATAAATTCCAAGTGGCTACAACACATTATGGAGAATTAAAATGTGAATTACGCTCTACACAAAAGTGCACCAATTAAGCTCCATGTTGAATTAGAGCGGTCTGTCTACGCTCTACGTAGAACAGGCTGATTATGCTCTACAGAAAAGGGCAAGCAGGCCCCCAAAACTTTCTCCTAGAAGAAGCGAACATTGTAAGGAATAAAACAATGACTTCATGTGGGGCAGCGGAACAAAGATACACTACGTCGTAGCTATAGGATAAGCAAAATAATGTAAAAAGCCAAGCTAACCAAGCATTCATGTCCTGTCGGCGTAACTTCCTGTTTTCACTGGCTCCTCCCTTCACCTGTTCAATGTCCTTCTGGGCGCGAAGGTACCTGAAATATAAGGAATACGTTGGTGCAACAGTTCAAATGGCAGGTCAAAAAATTTTCATCAAAAGTTGAAGGCATCCAATGCAGTTTCAGGGCACCAAAACTGAATTTACAAAGTCATCATAACGTTGGCTGGTTCTACATGTAGCTCACAGCTTGTTTTCAAGCTATTTCAAATGCTTTAAACGTACTAAATGATAACAAAAAAGAACAAAAAAATGGCAGTAAATGTCATCAGACAGATTTCCTCCTTCATAATATTTTTCATTTTGCCAACCTGAAATTGGATTGGATGCCTTTTAGAGCACTTTTAAATACTTCTGATAAGAGTCCTGTGTGCAGTTTCATCCACAATGCTCTATAGTGCTAATGGGAAACTTAAGGTAACAAAGCACATACATAATTTATGTACATGACATTGTACTACTGTACCTGTTTCCCTTCTTGAATTCCATCCCCAGTATCCTGATGGCATCCCGTGCTGGCTGGCTTTCCTTCTTGAGCACATCCAACTGGTCAATCACTAGAACATTAACAAAGATGACATTATCAACATTTTATCAGAGAGAGAAACAAGCTTTATCCACTTGATTCTTTCCTCACTGCAAATTTTTATTAGACAGCTGACAGCAACACTAGATGTGGACAATTTGGCTAGCACTGGACCACCAGTTCAATTTACTTCCTTGATCTTTAAGATGCAACCTTATGAAAGTAGCGATGTAGTTCATTAAGGGCTAAGAAATGGTTTTGAAAGAGGGTGGAAAAAATGGCAGTAAAGAACGTCATACTGATTGTGTAGAAAATAACACGTAGAAAATAAGTCTTTTCTGTATTCATTAACCAACCTGATGAAACTATTCATGGATGATAGAAATATCTGTAATAATCTAATAATTTTGATGTTTTTTTTAGTATGGATAAGGTGGGGTTGAAACAAACTTTGTCAATTTGTAAAACAAAGTTGATATAAATTACATACACCATCTAATGGTCATTGATTACATTAATTGATTAAAAGACCACAGACCGCAGGTCCCCTTTGTAGTGTAGCCAATGAAGGCTTGTGCTGAAAGGCAAAATAAAAGGTTAGGCAAACATACGCCGCGAGCCACTTCAGCGTACAATGGTGGGCCGGCGCCGTGTTCGCTCCTGTTTACACAACAGTTCAGCCACGGTGGGCAAAGGCGGGCAGCGGCATTACAGGACTAAGAAGGCATGCACCACAAACAGGGCTGCTTATCGCCATAGCTCAGGTGGGCTGTTTGTTTAGTGTCCCACTGACTGAGGGTGCTTAGAGCTAAGCAAGCCCCTCCGCGTCCTACCTTTCACTACCACAACCTCCGGCCACCGACATCAAAGCTTAACCATAACAATCGCCTCAATGACAAAAGGGTTTCAACTCCAAACACTGCCATGTTTATACCACCACCTCTGACCTCGTGTTTGTTTTGGAGTATCATGGGTATCCAGGACCTCTCACCCCGGCCACAACATTCAACTTTCCTCTCATTACATGGGACAATACTTAGTGGGGAGCAACACTCAACATCAAAGTAATCCCCCAACCAAGGGTGGCTGCTGCTTGCGAGTCTCTGCTGCCAAAATTTCAGAAACATAATTCTCTCATTAGAGGTACGGGCATGCATCTTCTCAGTTTCAACTGGCCATGAAGGTTAAAGCTCCAAGGCGGAAATAGAAAATGCCTGGAAAGGTCAGCAAAGATTCAGATCTATGCCCCAGAGGCAAGCATGGGTAGGTGGTTAGCTTCGGGGACAGCTGGACACTGTTTAGGGTATTACTGTTGAGACTGATTGCGCTGGATCAAAATGTCAGGATAATTCCTATGATAAGCATGCTGAGATAGTTACAGATAAAAAAGGGAAGGCGATTCTATCCAGGCAAAGGACAAACCCGCACATCGACCAGACAGGATGCCGGCAAAGATGCTATCTGTAAAGGATTTTTTTTTTTTCGCAAGCGAGGTATTTACTCGGAGTTGCTTCATTTAACACCCGCCATGCAGGCCCCGAGCGAAGGCGCTACCGCCGGGGAAGCTGGCGTAAATGTCAGCGGCATTAGGCGCGCCGGATGGCTGGACGTCACATTTGAACAGAGGATGACCACGATAAACATGTCAATATTGATACTGGAAACCATCTGGTACTCCGGCACACTACTGCTTCATGCTATCAAGACACGGGACCATCCATCGGCACATGACCAAGGAAAGCGTTTGATGGGCAAAGACGTGCGAACAAAGTTTAAGAGGCAGGACAACGATAGGTGATACTTTGAAAGGAATTCTCAAACCGTCTACATCCCCTTTATCTCTCAGACACAACTTTCGATAGCCGTAATTATGGGTTTCCAACGTTTACCACCTCGGATGGTAAAACTGAGTGGTATGTCATGTATGTCAAAACATGTGAAAACACGGGAGAGTCGCATTCCGGATCTTATAGCACACTTTGCACCAGAGTCTAAACAAAGGGCTACTGGGTATCATGGCACTGTCATCTCAACCCCAAGATGCCAATATTCAAATCTCACTATAAGATGTAGAGTATAGAATTCAAAGGAAAGTGATCTTAATCTAGTTTAAGCTCACTGAGGCCTAGGAAAAAAAATGTGGTGTTTCCAGTTTCAGTCCTGAAAAACTTAGGGTCGGTAGGTATGGATTATCTTCTTTTTTTTTCCTTTTTTTTTTAGACGTCAGTGATATCTATATAGGGGTCCAACTTATACAATACAGTTTAACAAAGTAAAACTTGCAACAAGACACTTTTATTTTCAATGTCAATGTTAGAAAACCAGTTGTACAATGTTTTATAACTGGGAAAACATTTTATAATGGGAAACAGGAAACACAACATTCTTTTCTCCTAGGCCTGAAGAACTTATCTCTCACTGTTCATGGCAGAGAAGACAGGACATAAAAATTTTGTCTGACATAAACGGCAAAATTCCGTCAAATGACGAAAAGACAGATGCTGGCTAGAACACTCATCATATCTATCAGTTCAACAAGTTACTTGACATAGAAAAAAATAGATATTATTTCACTGTTTAAAGCTGAATGCTCCTTATCAAAATTATGTAAAGAGTCTGATGTACTTGAACTTTATACTTTGTCTCAAAGAGGTATTTGAACTTGTATATTTTGTACTTGAACAATAAAGTTGGAAAAAAAAGTCACTTGACATAAGTTTTTCGTTTCACGAAAAGTAATTTATGCCTTCCTCTCTAGCCGACACCTTAATAAAGAATGGGAATAAACAATAGCCGACACAGTTCATTCGTTTGGCGGGAATATAAGGTATTTTAATACTGACATGGATTCAATACAAATAGATATTGATAAACAGCTATAGAAACTTGTGTACGATTCACAATGCTCGTTGAGACATGATGGTTACCATGACAACCGAAACACACATCTTATGAACAGATTTTCAGTGTAAAAATATTATGCCAATCTTACAACTTTTCCATAGATTGTACACTTTCTACCGTAATGTTAGTCAGGATTTTTTCCCACCACCAATGCTGTAATAGTTTAACAATACAAGAACTGTCAAAGCGACTTATGCTGGTCAGAGTCACGATAGCACGATACATGAACTAGAACATCGTAGAATGGTGGTGAGCATATGTACTAGTTTATGATTAGTTCTGTGGAAGCTGCTTTACAATTTGAAATATCCATGTTTCTAGTTACTAATAGAGATAGCTAACTGCTATAAATTCTTAGTACTAATGTTGGTTCGTGTCTAAAAGCTATGAACTGTGCCAGACACTATTCAACAGTTTCAGTGACTAGGCAAAACGGACAGCTGATGCTACTATATGTTAGAACCTTGAGAACAATATGGTGTTCCATGAATAACAAACATGGTTTGAACTATGTAGGTATCACAGTAGAACAATGCTTAATGTTTATGTGCGCTACAATGATCTCATTGAACAGTTGTGGAACGATATATCACAGTCAGAACGCCATAACGATCGGGTGGTTGTAACGACGGCTGTTACATTCCTACACAATATTCTGTTACAATCAAAGTTCGACTCCTGACAACTAACTATAACGTTCGAGTCTATCAACTGACTTTGATAATTTGGCAAGCCGACTGGATAAAGAAGTTTAGCAATCGTGTCATACGGTAATAATGACCGTATAACTGTTCTAACCTATTATGACTGTTCTAACAAGTAATACATTTTAACGAGTGGATAAGGCAACAGTCTAGCAACAAAGATGCGGCATTCTGATTCCCAACTCATGGCCAGTGCCGATTAACATTATCATTATAACAATGGGCATTTTACCCTGTATTCAATGGAGGCACGAAGGCAACTCGCCAAGACGCGCCTGTTATTTTACCCGTATCTGTTATGCGCTGTGTGGCTACATTGTATTATAGATCATGTTCGAATATACTGTTTGAACGCATCAGAGGACCATCTCCCTAGTAAGCGGAGTATGGAATCTGGTACTCCCTGTAAGGCTGCCTGCGTAGCAGCACCGATACGGAAGGAGTGTATTTCTGAGGATCTAATTTGGCTTAAAGCACGG